AGATATTTTAGAAAAGGTAATGAAACTAAGAGACAGAAGGAGATGAGAGATGGGAGATGGGAATAGAACAATAAAGAATTCACATGTGCTGTGTACATGTAGCAACCCTGCAGGATTAGTGTAATGAATGGGTACTCAAAAAATGTTCTAATAAAAAAGGAATATATCAAGTCTGTAATTATCTATTCTTAACGATTATGCCTGGTGGAGTAAAAAGTAAAACTGCCTTGTAAAAAGTGCCTGCCTCACACAGTATCTCCCTGGAAAGCGTGAGGTTTTAAGTTCAAATCCATGGACCAAAAAAAAAGTGCTAATGATATTATTATAGTTTGTATAAACCTACTCATAGCCACCATTACCAGAGCATAACATGACTACCTGAGTTTCTTATTCTAAGTAAACCTAAATAAGCACTTTACTAATGGATGTGTGTGAAGCTGGGTGAACACATTCTCCTAGAAGGCAATCATTTAAATGGTGAATATGAAGTTACAAACACTGAAAACGTCTGAAAGAAATCTAAGGGCACACAGCAAATGAGAAAACATTCTATAAATTCTGCCAGATCTTGGTATAAATAGCAAGTCTTAGGCATTTCAGCTCTGATCTGCTCTCATGTACTCTCATCCTGGAGAGGTATGAGAGAATCTCCATGGCAGGAAAGTGTGGAGAAAAGGTAATAACTCTTTCCTCTCCACGTTCAGTGCAGGGCTCCAATTTCACTACACCAGGACAGGCAGCTACCATTCACTAACCCCTCTCCACGCTGCCTGCTGAAGCAGGTCTGTTCCACATAAGCAGAGTCAGGATGACTGGGATACATTTCCCTCAAGCAGTTCCCACTAGTGGGGCAAACGCTGCCCCTCAGGGACAAAGGGCTGCTAATACTGATTTCCTTCCCCTTTCTAGTTTAGTGGGCAGAGAGCACATCCTAGCAAAGAGGTAGTTGGTAGTAATGAGACTTTACCCAGGGAACACGGAGGCTGTAACTACTGGTATTTCACAGCTCTACTTGCACCACATGACTTTGGAACACAACCTGAAGATTTCTTGTCTATGGGCTTCAAACATTATGGAGATACTGGAAAGCTATTAAAAAAGGACACATAGGCAGGAAGTGGTGGTACATGTCTATAATCCCAGCACTTGGGAAACTGAGGCAGAAGTTTTGCTGCAAGGCCAGCGTGAGTTGCACAATGAATTTAAGGCTGGTCTAAACTAAATGGTGAGACCCTGTCTCACAGAAAGAAAGAAAAGAAAAAAGAAAGAAAGAAAGAAAGAAAGAAAGAAAGAAAGAAAGAAAGAAAGAAAGAAAGAGGGAGAGGGAGAGGGAGAGGGAGAGAAGGGGGGAGAGGCAAATGGACATATGTACCGGGTAAAAGGCAAGCAGAGACTGCCTGTGAGGGAAACCACACATTGTACTAGCAGGAGAAGATTTCACAACTGTTATAAATATATCCACAGAACTAAGGAAAACTGTTGGTCACAGAGGTGCATGGCTGTAATCCCAGCATTAGAAGGCTGAGCCAAGAGGATTGCCCTGAGTTCAAGGCCAGTGTGGCGATGCTGGGTGTTCAAAGCCAGCCTGGATTATACAGTAAGATCTTATCTCAGAAACCAAAACAAAAACAAAAATGAACAAAAAAAGCACAGGTCCCTTGGTTCAATCCCCTGTACTGGAAACAAACAAAAAGTGAGCAAGTAACACAAATTCACAGCAAGAAAGGCAATGAAAACTAATAGATAAGAATTTTTAAATGAAATAATATAAAATCTATAAACACATTTCACTTTTCTACATTCCTCAACTGACACAGAACTTTCAGAGAAATAGTGTGGCAATGCAGTTTTGCATGTAGCATACATATACAAAAAATACCAAAGTGAGGAAGTACTATGTAACTAACTCTTCTGTTTCTCACTGGATACACATGCATGAGCACAATAGACATATAGGTTAATGTGGTGTAAATCTGAAACACTTTCTGACAGATTAAGGTTTCTATTATAAAACAGAGACAAAAATCATAATGACATAAAGGCATGGTAAAAATTGCGGAAGACACTAAAACACTACTAAATGTTTTTCATGAAAGGAAGTTAGGGAAATTAGGAGCAAGAGGCAAACAGTCACAAGTCATACAGAGAACAAACTGGCGGACATAAATCCAATAGCATCAAAAGTAACAAAATGTAAATAGTAAGCAATTCAAGAAAAGGAAAAAAAATTTAGAGTAAATAAAAAATAAGATACAAGAATATGCTGTGTATATGAAACACACTGGATTGAAGATCCAAATACACAGAAGACAAACAATGGGGAAAAAACAGAAAAAATCAAACATAAGAAAACAGGGATGGCTATTTTAGTATCAGACAGACTGAAATTTTTGCTAGAAAATGTTATTAATCTTTATGACAATACAGTCAAGTGATCACAAAGACATGAAAGTTAAAAACGAATATGTACTAACAACAAAGCTCCAAAATACTTCAACTAAAGATTAGCCAAATTGAATGGAAAAATGGATAATTCAAACAGAATATTTGGAACCTTCAATAATCACTTCAGAAACATTTTTATCCAATGTTACTGACAAATAAATTTGCACGTTTAAAGTATATGACGTTTGATGATTGTGTACACTGTGAAATGATTACACATGAATCTTGCACACCTATCTCACTTTCAAAAAGGGATAAAACACAGAGGCAGTAAAGTTTTAAAATTGCTTATACAAGACATGGACATTATAAATCAAGTAGACTGAGCAGACATCCACAGAGCGTGTCACCCAATAACTGTAGAAAATACATTCTTTGCAGGTAAACCTGGACCATTTCCAGGATAAACTACATTAAGGCCACAGAAGAAATCGCAATAGATTAAACAAAGTGAAGTAAAACAAAATATGCTCTGACACAGTACATTGAAATTAGAAATCAACATCAAAGAGAAATTAGGAAACATTTTAAAATGTGGAACTCAAACCACACAGTACTAGTTAAACAGTATGTCAAGGAAAAATTAATGTGAAAACTAGAACATTAAAAGACAGCTGCCAGCCAGCTGTGGTGGTGAATGCCTGCAATTCCAGCACCCTGGGAGGCTGAGGTAGGAGGATGGCAAGTTCTGGCCAAGCCCAGGCAATCTAGTGAGGCCCTGACTCAAAAAATTTATAAAGGGGCCAGGGACAAGGCCAGAGTGAAGGCCTGGGTTTCATACCCATACCTCCCCCCACATACACATATACTCCTACATAAAAGAACTGACATTTGTAATTAAAAACTGCTTAGTATTTTTATATAATACCTGATTTGCAAAATCCAAATGTTACCTGAAGACACCCACATTTAACTACATACAATCACCTCATTAAAATATTAAAGGTACACATGAATTATTAATATAAAACTTTCAATAAAAAATACTTAAATAATATATTTAGGACACAAAGAATACCAAAAAAGGGAAATGGAATTTTCTTCTGGTGAAGGTGCATTTACATCAATTAGTATTATCTTAACTCCAAGGAAACCAATAAAAGAAAAAGATTTATATGCCAATGGCTAGAGTAACCAGTACCCACGACACAAAGAGGTATAGTTAATATTTTAGCTATTAATATAGCTCATATTTTGGTACTGGGGATTGCACTTGGACTGTCACACAACTCTACATTCCCAGTCCTTTTCTTTATTGTTATTTTGAAACAAGGTCCCTAAATTGCCCTGGTGGGACTTGAACTTGTGACCCTCTTGCCTCAGCCTCGCTTTGCTGGGAGCACAGGTGTCTGCTGCCACACCCAGCTACTAATACAACTTTAAAAATTGTCGGGCGCAGGCGCTCAACACACCCCGCCCAGGACGATAAGACCACGTCAGCTTCCGCAATGCGCTAAGTCCCTCTCTAAACTAGCCGCCCAGTGCGCACCTCGTGCTCACTCCGTATTCGCCCCGTGCTGACTCTGTGGCAATCCCTGATTGGCCACAGCTGGATATATTAGCCAGAGCCTGCGTCTCATTCCCGCCCTGCTTCCTTGTGGCGGCCTGTGATTGGTCACGGCCGAATATATAAACCAGAGCCCGCGTAAATAAAGCAGCAGTTCCTGTTACCACCTGAAGCGTCTCCTGTCTCATTGGGGGGCTGCGCTGGTCAAAAAATTACTTCCAAAATTTAAAAGTTACACCATATGCCATTTTTACTTGTTTGTTTTCTACTAGGCTCTCCCTCATTAATGTACCTCCATCACAAGACACATACCTAACACCTGCCGGGAACTGCACAATCAATGAAAATATGTAACAGAAATACACTAAACAAAGAAAATAAGTATCACCCACTCCTTTAGGAGTATTTGCCTTTAAGGAAAATTTTACATCTGTAAAAATCAGGCATTGGAACTCAAATATCCAAAATGAAACTTACTTCAAAAAAACAAGGGCCAAGTATATAGTTCAGTGGTACAGTACTTGACCGGCACATGAAGCCCTGGGTTCAATGACATATGTGATCTATATAATTAAGAAAAAAAGAAAAGAAGGGCATTAGAAGTTCAGTAACTATTCAAAGAATGGTATTTTAATGTGAAAATAGGACATCACTGTTTACTGATTATACACTCAAATTTAAATATTAAAACCTATGTTCTCATTGTATGAACACAATACAATTTACTTAAAACTGACACTTTAGCTGGGTGTGGATGTTCAAGCTTGTAAGCCCAGCATTGAGGAGGCTGAGGTAGGAAGATCCCAGTGAGTTTGAGGCAAGCCAGGGATACTTAGTGAGATTAAGGCGCTGTCTTGAGCAATCAAGTAAAAAAAAAAAGAAAGAAAGAAAGAAAGAAAAGAAAAGCATAACAAGATTAGTAACTGTTCAAAGACTAGTATTTTAATGTGAAAATAGTATGTAATTGTTACTGATTATAAACTTCAATTTAAATATTAACAACTATATTCTCATTATTTGAACACAATACAATTTACTTAAAACAAACCTTTCAGCTTGTGAGGATGATCAAGCGTGTGAGATGGGCACTGAGGATGCTGAGGCAGGAAGATATCGAGTTCTAGACCACCTGGGCTACTGAGTGAGATTAAGGTGCACCTGAACTATGTAATGAGACCCTGTTGAATAATCAGGAAAAAAAAAGAAAGACAAGAAAAGCATAAGAAGATTAGTAACTATTCAACAAATAGTATTTTAATGTGAAAATAGGACATAATTATTTGCTAGTTACAAACTTAAATTTAAATGCTAAGAACTATATCCTCATTGTCTTAACACAATAATTTGCCTAAAACAGACCTTTTAGTTGGGTGTGGATGCTCAAGCCTGTATGATGGCATTGGGGAGGCTGAGGCAGGAGGATCACCATGAGTTCAATGCAAGCACAGTGAGTTTAAGGCCAGCCTGCAGTGAAAAGTGACAACCTGTCTCAAACAAATATCAACAAGCAAAAAACACAAAACAGACTTTTCATTATTTATTAACCAAAACTTTATACACATTTGTGAGTGGATTTGTGGACTACATTCCTAGAAGGAAAATGATTACCTATAATTGGTAGGATAAATTTAAAATTTGCTTAAAAATTTCAATTTCAATTTTAATTCCCAAAACCTCGCCCATTTTTTCCTCTCAGGAATTTGGCATCATGATAGAAAGACTAGTTTACTATTTGCTTACAATGTTACATTTATCTATCATGTTAAATGTATTAATTTGATATAAATACTTTTGTGTCTACTGTAAGAGGCAGCACAGAAACCAAAGAGAGGCAGACCACAAATAACAACAGGTTAGGCAGCAATAAGCCTATGTTACCAAACCACACATTCTACAGTAACCAGGTGAAACAGCGGGACCTGCTCAGTAAATGCCAACGTTCTGAACTGTGGCCCGTTTCTAACTTAGGACCAAGTTGAAGGGCCCAAACACGCTCCTCTAACCCATCATACAAAACGCTACACGCCTGCTAGGTCTGTGCCTACCTTCAGCATCCCCCAAACATACTACCTGCATCAAGATATCCCCAAAGCTTCCACTTTTTCTACTACAATTTTCCCACTTCCTTGAATAGCGTTGCATCCCGCTAGACGCAAAAGATAATGGCCACATCCCTTGCTGTAGCAAACCAAAAATATATTGTTCCTCTTTTCATTTATTTTCAGAATTTTTGATGATTATTGTTAAATAGTCTATGATTTCCTAAATATTTCAAACTTCAGAACTGTCACATATACTAAACTTATACATATATATTTTTATTTTCACACGAATACACACATATTACCTAATTTCAATAAATGGATTCAAATCAGGACGTATTTACCACACTTGAATGCTAATGACTATAAGAACCCTACATATAAGACAGGAAACTTTAAAATGGTCTTGTACTTCGAGACGTATGTGGGACCTATGTGAACTAGGAAGAGCACTGGCGCCGGTGAAAATTCAAGGCGCTCCGAGAAGCGGAGACACAGCGCCCAGGCCCAGCAGCTCTATCCCGCGGGCCGCCTTCCCAACGGACCCGGAGACCCAGGTGATGGACACGGACGCGTTCAGAACAGACGGTAAAGGAAACCGGCGAAACTGCCAACAGCACCCCCAACACCTGCAAATCCCCCTTCCCCAAATGATACTAAAAGGAGCATTTCTTTGACAGACAAACCTTGGACCGCTGGCGGGTGGACAACCGCCATTTCCCTCGCTCCCGGAACTACTCCTTCAGGAAGGGAAGCAGGGAATCCGGGAAGGGAACTGAGAATTTCCGGAGGGCCAGAGGGGCCCTGGCCAGGAGGCCGAACGGTGCCCCTGCTGGTGGCAGTGGGGAATGGCAATTGACTGGCGCTTAGGTTTAGGAACTGGACACCATACATACCATATGTGTGTCCTGCGGCTTAGCCGCCTAAGTGAACTTTAATAGGGGTGAACCTTATACATGAGTGGCCAGAAACTGACTCATTGCCAACTCTCTATTTTAGTATGGGATGAGGTCTTAATCAAGTAGCCTTCTACCTTTTCTACCTCATACCTTCTGCAAAGATCCTTTAAATGGTTTATTTTCTTGTTCACACTCTTTATGAACCTTTCAATCTGAAGTTATGCTGTGTGTCTTATATTGTCTTGAATGTCAAGCAATTGAGATTTACATAGGAAAACACTTTGATTGCCAGTTACCTAGAATGTATAAGAAAAGCAGGATTTGGTGGTACATGTCTGTAATCTCAGCACTTGGGAGACAGAGGGGTAAAGATCCCTATGAGTTTGAAAGCAACCTGCGCTACTAAGCAAGATCAAGGCAAGCCTGAACTATGTAGTGAGACGCTGTCTCCAATAATGTAAAAAGAAAGAAAAGCATGAGATTAGTAATTCTTCAAAGAGGGGTATTTTAATGTGAAAGTAGGACATAATTGTTTACGGATTATAAACTTAATTTGAAATATTAAGCAATTTATACATATTTGTCAATGCCTATTTGATAGCTATAAAGATCATTATGGCACATAAAATATTTTTATCAATTGAAAATGGCATAGTTATATAAATCTAGTGTCATAATTTGATTGTGCAGTAGATTAACAGAGAATATTTATGTAATGATTATTATGGTAACTTTCTAATAGTAGCACTTGTAGATTTCAATATTAAATTCACTTTCTCCTCTGCCCTGTCAATTAATTCCATCTCATATCACTATCACCAAGGACTCTGGAAATAAATTGAATGCTTCATTGCAAATTCAGCTTATTATGATTCTTGAGACTTTGTCAAACTATACCTATTCACCACAGTTTGAAATGACCTTCAAAACTTATACTCATCAGCTACATAACACTGTACTTACAAAACAAGTAAAATATACAACACTTTGGAACATATGATAGACGAAGCACATTTCTTGATTCCATATGTGGTTTTTCCACCATAAATAATACTTATATAAATTGATACAGTAAACCTGAACCAAGGATAAAGCAAAATTGTGTGTTCTCCTAATAAACAATAGGTCTGAACTTTTCTTCAACAAAAATTATAGTTGATTCCTAATTGGGAAGAACAGGTATCCATATTTAATGCATTAGCAAAAATAGTTGATTCATTAAAACCACAAAGTGAATTTATGATATCGTTTCAAGTTCTTAAGAAAAGGAGCCATTTTTATATGGCTAATTATCAAAATCCACTGAAATGGTATGTTTCCTAATTTATAAAACAAATCCTCTGATAAACTTTGTAATAACTCCATTCTTCTGATTATGACATGATTCCAAAATCAGACCTTTTCCAAAGCTTATTATGTGCATGCTTTCAAGTATATATTCATATATATAATATTATCATAAAAGTTGAGCTATTTCCCTAATCTTTACTTGTTTCTTTTGTTTTCATTCTTGGAGAGCTACAGTAACCAAAATGATAGCATAACATCTGGAACCTAAGAAGTCAAACAGCGTCCTGGTGTAAACCATCCTCTATCCTCCTCACCTGAGCCCAGTCCTTGGTGTTCTTTGATTAGATTAAATGGAACTTTCTATTATATGAACAGCACCTTTGTTGAATTTTTGTATGAGGTTCATTTTCATTAACAGTGACTGTTATATAATAATAGCATTTGGAGAACCTGTGGGTCTAAAAGCAGCAGGTACTTGAAGAAAGCACTATTTTTAACACTGCTTTTTTTTTAAGAGAATAAACCAAACAATGTACAATATAATAAAGCCAGTCCAAACAAGGCAATAAAAGCAATACAGGTCTCTCGAACAAGATAATAGGAAATCAACAATGGCTGCCATCATATATCTTATTATCTTTAAGTAGCTGTGCATACCATTGGATATCAGAAAATCAAACAAAACAAAATGGAATGAAATCAAACAAAACAAAACAATGAAAATGACCCAGGACTTCAAAACAAGATCATAGGAAATTAACAATGGCTATCATAATACTTCTTGGTCTCCTCTAAATAGTTGCTCAGACTACTAAATTTAGGTCTGCAAAGTTAATCAGTACAAGTACTAAATTCTTTCTTTACTTCATTGCCATCACCTCAGCCTGTGTTCCCACAAATCAACCAGGTATGTGGGGAAGGGACAGGGCTTCCTGTTTCTCACCTGGCCTGCATCATCTCTACTGGCTCACCAGGGGACATGGGTTTCTGGTCCTTCCCCAGCCAGCATGAGTTCTGCTGGATTGCAGAGGACCTTGACTTCTTGGCTCATTCCCCACCCACATGACTGCTGCAGGCTCATGGCGGGGCTTAGCTTTCAGTTCCCTCTCAATACTGATTATTCTGACAAATAGCAAACAGCTCGTGCTAGTCTCTAATTGACTCTATTTCCTCAGCCAACTGTGAGAAGCATTTTATGTTGGTTAGATTTTATTTCTTAAACTGAAAGGACAGAAAAATGCCACGTGATAATTTCATTAGATGTACAGTGTCTTAGTGATCTATTTCTTAATTGTTAAGTTATTTTATCTTTTATAGCTTATGGGATGAATACCCATCGAAAAACAAACTCATAAAGTTTTATAAACTATGAGGTGTCTCAAAGTTTTGGTAAGGAATTTGACTAGAGAATGAAAAAAAAATTGGAAGTTTGTATTTTTTTTGTATTTGCATTGCTCTGGAATTTCCAGGATTTAATGAAGTCTTTGAGGCTATGACAAAATGACTGTCCATGGCAAATTCAATGAAAAACTGTCACACTATAGTGAGTAAAGGATAAGGACAGTCATAAGCAGGGTTTGGGATTTTCTTTCTTTAAGGTGCCCCTTATTTTTCTCTCCTCATACTGTAAGAAGGTAAAGGAGAACAGGCGCAACTCCATGCTATGCGATAGGCTGACAGTGAAGCAGTATTCACAATAGAGCAAGGGGGCCCATCCCAGTCACAGGAGCTGGGAGAGTGATAAGACAGATGCCCTCTGCTTACTGGCTTACAGAAAAGTATCATTCTGGCAATAGTACAGACTGTTCCAAATATTTCTGTGTCCTTTTTGCATAGGCTTTTTTCCAAATGTTTGTTGCAGTTCTCCAATGAAGCTAACAGAGATTTAAATATTAGCGAGAAAAAATTTCAATGACAGGTTCAAATTATGTAAACATTGTAGAACTATTCGGCCAGTTTCCTTAACTTTTTTTTTATTATTTGAAAGTTTCATCTAAATTCCCTAACTCATCATCATAGAGTTTTTATAGAATTAACCCTTTTTTTGTGCATCATGGATACGAAAGGCTATTCCCACAGGTATTGCTTCTACAGATTGGCTCTCAGAATAATCTACCAATTTTGATGTTCTTGATTATCACCTGTTGTGCGTTTCTTTCTTTCTTTCTTCAGCTGTAGCATTTTATGTGCTTTGCAGTGTTCTCTTTCATTACAATACCATTATCATATTTATTACAAGTGTAATTGATTTTCACTAAAGAGATATTTAGTATCTACTATAATAATGGTTTTCATTACAGATAATTGCAGTCTATATTATCCTAATATGTTAGGGAGATTATCTTTTTATATGAACTCCTAATAAAATTAACAATAGTAACTTAAAAACCCCTATATGTTTTCACTTTTGTCAGATTCTTTGAGATCTGCTTCGTGATTCTGTGGTCACATTTTATAATGTTTCAATGTGTGCTAGAGAAAAGTATGTACTCTGTGATTTTTCCTCAAAGGCAACAAGCAAATGAAAGAAAACATAATGCCTAAAATGGTGTGGAAAATCATTTAACAAAAGAAGAGAGCAAAAAAAGCTAATAAACCCATGACATTTCTAAATAACATCATCATTTGGGGAATAAAAAATCATAGTAGGAGACTTCTCATCATGTAAACACCTGTCTGAAGGACTGAAGTGAAAAAAGATGTATAGAAAACTTTATGTCATTTCATTGTGCTTCTATTCCCACTGGCTTTGCTAAAATAATAAGTTTTCGAGGCATAACTGATGCTCCTTTCTAGGTACTTATTCTTTTTGGGCTTTATATGGATTATTTACCATTTTTTAAAATTTATTTTTCAAATTGTCTGTCATTGTGTCCACCTATGTATTTTGGCCTAATGTTTATTTTTCACCTTTGAGGTATACCTTAAAATAATTTTGGGACATCTTAGCATATTATTTTCTTGATCCTTTTTTCTCTAATACAACATTTCTGATTTATGATACAGGCTACCAAAACTGATACTCTTATTCGTGATATAAAGTTGTAAAAACTCAGTGAAATTACTCATGAACTTACTTTTGAAGCTGTCAAGATGAAAACCATATCCTATAAATGTAATACCAGCACTCTGGTAAGTTGAGGCAGAATGACTGCAATACAAAATCCAGTTGTGCATGTTAGCAACTTAGCCAGCTCCAGATTCAAAGCAAAAAATAGTAAACAACGGCAGATACAGTTCAGTGCAAAGGATCTGAGACCTGTACTGCCATGAAATATGGCAGGAGGGAGGCTAAGACAGCATGTCAGAAGACGGAAAGCAGGGGAACGAGGAAGACAAAAAGCAAGGGAAATAACAGACTGGAAGAGCAAGGGAAATTATATCAAGTAAATGACCTTCAAGCCAGGTCTAGGAGACGCACTGATTTTTCTGGCTAGCTTAGCATATTTCCAGAGAGGGAGAGAGAGAGAGAGAGATAGAGAGAGAGAGAGAGAGAGAGATAGATAGATAGATAGAGAGAGAGAGAGAGAGAGAGAGAAGCAGACACACAGAGACAGAGGTAGACAGAGAAAGAAAGACACACAGAGAGAC